ATTTACTTGCCTGACCATAAGAGCCATCCATTTAGAAGTCGCCTTTGATTTGTCCACAGATGTATTCTTGCCATACGCAACTTTATAAATAGACGTGGCCTGCCTACAAGACTCAGGAGCGACAATGGAAAAAATTTTGTTGGTGCCGATCAAGTTGCCAAGCGGTTCAGTGAAGTATTTGATGTGGCCCAAATTCAAGATGAATGCTCATCCAGAGGTATAGACTGGCAGTTTAATTGTCCTATAATCCTGCAGAAGGTGGTATATGGGAACGTATGGTCCAGTATGTCAAGCGTGTGTTGCAGTCTACGCTGAAAGAATCGGGCCCTAGGGAACACACTTTGCAAAGTATCCTAATTGAAGCGGAAAATTGTGAATTCTCGTCCCTTGACACATTACTATTACAATACTGGTGTATTAAGGCGCCCTGTGTCCAAACTGGCCATCATTGATTTGTAGTAGTGAATCGTTGCCGATCCACGGGGGTGGAGATGTCGCCTAGTGCCTCATAGAGGAGCTAATTTTATTTATTTGTTTTATTTTGATTTATTTCGTCGTATTTAAATTTATTTGTTTTATTTAATTTATTTTATTTGTCCTTTTAAATTTGTTTTATTTCTTTAAGTTGACATATATTTATTAAGCCACCTTAAAGTTGTTTGTAATTGTATGATCATTGTTATTATTTTGTTCTTTTTATTCCCTTTTGTTCCTATTTGTTTACGAACTAAACGCACTTTGTCCCTAAATTCTACTGCAGTATTTTCGTTAAGTTTTTTTGTTTGGAATGTAACAGTTAGTAAATGAAAGAAATTTGTAGGCTCAGTATTTTCTGGCATTAATATTAAAGTTTAGTTTATTGGGGACAAAGACTGCGGTAAGTCGCTTAATTTATTTATAACTTTAATTTGTAATAATTTTATTGTTTTTAAATAGAAATAAACATTTACATCCTTGCATCATAATTTTAAACAAATTTGTGGTTCTTTTTGGGTGTTTGTTAAACTCCTGTCCTCAACATAAGGCTCAAGTCGCAGCCAGCGACAATGAAATTCAAAGAGCCACCAACAAATTTGGGATTGTTGAACAAAAATTTTGATTTTAGTATTTATGAAAAATTTGGAGATATTTTTAATATTTTCCAACATATCGTCACCTAAAACGCAAACGGCCCTATCTAACATTTTTAAAATTTTACAGAAGAAGCAAAAAACTAATTAAATTGAAAAGTTTGTTTCTATCGACGCGATTTATTTCTTGTAAATAAACAAATTGTTTAATAGTGAAACGTATAATTTGTTATGATAGTTGACAATGGCGTATATAAAAATGGATAAATGGGATTTTTTACCTTGATATGTATTTAAATGTTTTTGTAGTTAGGGCCTCTTGTTTTTTGATAATAAAATCGATGGTCGGAGGAGCCCAATTTTTGATGTGGGCATTTGTTTTGATGTAATACATTAGAATCAACAATAAAATCGATTTTGAATTTTTGGTTAGTTAGAGCAGTTTGCGTTTCAGGCGACGATATGTATATAAAAGCAGAATAATGTTTATTCATGTTTTTTCGATCATCTTCGCGGACCCCCATTTGGGAACCGTTGTATAAGACGTAAGTTTTTGGTACTTTTTTATTCTTCAAATACAGTGGTTTCCCGGTTTAACGAAACATATAATGTCAGGCCCATTGGTAAAAACGAAAAAATTGTTAAACCGAATAACAACTTTTCTATGATTTAATGATAAAAATACGGTAATGAAAGGTAGGAAGTCTATTTATACCCTACACCACTTTAGTTTGTAACATACAAAAATATTCGTCCTAGACCCACCTTAAAGTATACCAATCGGCTCATAATCATTTTCTGAGTCGATTAAGCTATGTCCGTCCGTCCGTCCGTCTGGCTGGCTGTCCATGTAAACCTTGTGCGCAAGGTACAGATAATTTTCAAGATAATTGGATGAAATTTGGCACGCACGTTTTATTTGAGCAGGACGAAGCCTATTGAAAATGGTTAAAATCGGTCCATTATTTCACCTAGCCCCCATAGAACAGAACCCCCCGAAAAGGGTTTCTGAGCTCATAATTATGTTAAATATACAGATATATCGATAAAATACGGCACAACTAAGTTTTATAGAAGTCTTGATGATCCTGCCAAATTTCATAAAGATCGGGCCACATTTGACCCTAGCTCCCATACAAAGTCCCCTTCAGAAAATTACTTGAATGTCCCAAATTAGCTTATAAACACAAATATCGCGATGAAATTCAGCACAATAAAATATTATGTAAATATAAATATATTCACAAAATCGGACTTGGTCCATATTTGCCCCTAGCCCCCATATAATGCCTTTTTCAGAAAATTAGTTTTTCATCCATAAATTGCTTAAATGTATCGGAACAAGGGAATATTGAAGATAAATGCTTTATTATGAAAAATAAATCACATTTAATATTCATAACTGGTGTAGGGTATCATATGGTCGGCCACGCCCGACTATACTTTCTTACTTGTTTTTAAATCTTTTTGAATGCACCCATAAAGTTTTTGAAATTTCCATGCATATTTATGCAGTGTGCAGAAGATATAATTTTTTTTTTTTTTTTGTTAAATTTGGAATCAAAGCAAAATTAAAGATTTTATGAAAATTTTGACTAAAATTTGGTAAAAATAATGTTTCTTCTTTAATGAAGTTAAAGTTGTTTCATTTCGGAAATTAATTCCTTTCTTATAAAAAAATATAAATTTGATGCCCATTTTAATCGAATTTGAAATTCTATGTATTTTATGGTAATTTTCATTACAAACAATTCCATTTCTCACTTTATTAGTAAAATAATCATAATATTGCCTTAAATAAAGAATTTTATATTAAAATGTATATCTATTTAATAACTTTTATTCATATTACCAAAAATAATTTTTTAAATGTTATTTTCATTCCTTTTCCAGCATTTTTGTATTTGTAGATTTTGTACCCATTGAATTGGGTATTGAACTTACATAAAATCTTAATATGTTATTGCTTTTGGTTAATAATGAAGTATGGTGATCTTTCCGTATTATTTTCACCTCTTTTTATAGAAAATTTTTTAGAAATTCGTTATATCGAGTACATAATTTACTCACTCATTCGTAATATAAGGTACTCAATGGAAACAATTTGCCCGTTAGTTAAATTGCGAATTCGCTAAACGGAGTATTCGTTAAACCGGGAAACCAGTGTAGTACTTTTTGTATATTCTATAATATGAAGCCAAAATATAAGATTACGCAGTGAGGCAAAATAAACGAAAATCGAAATACCTGGGAAGTAAAACTATTTTTCTGAAAGGTGGATCCGAGTAGAACAAGGATCTGTTTTTGAAATTTTCCAAACACCTACAAAATCTTGAGATAGAGGTAAAACCCCGGTTTTTCATATCTTTAAGCTCATAAAAGTCAGTAACTTAGTTCAATCTCAACCAATTTTAAGTTTGTTGATTTGAACGGACTTAGAAAGCAGAATGACATATATGATGTTTAAGTACATTAGAAAAATATATGTTTATTTCATTGACAAACATGTTTTTGATTTTAGTTTTACACCGTTTTTAAAGTTTTTGCAAAGTATTTTATATACGAACCGTACTATTTATTAATTTATTAGGAAACTATGCCTGTTAATGAGAAAAACGCAACTTTGTTTTTTAAAATCAGTTAACAATTGACGACATTATTAATCTTTTTCTTAATACAAAATTGTTCAAAAACTGATCTTCTGAAGTATGCTTTATATGGAGAATAGGGCTAAATGTGGGCCGATCCTCATAAAATTTAGTGGAGGGATTTATGTTTATATAAAAGTTATTTATGCTAGATTTCATCGTGATATTGATATTAAAAGGATAATTATGGAATTCAAGTCATTTTCTGAAGGATGGTTTGTTTGATGACTAGGGTGAAATAAGTCCGTATTGCTTAAAGAATCAGCAGTACCACTAAGAATTATAGCAAACTCCTTTATGTCGATTTTTGTATTGATTGGACCTTATTTGATCCTAGCCCATAATTATCCATAATTATCTTAATTTTATTAATATCACGATGTAATTCAACATAAATAACATTTATATATACATAAATAGTTCTACCAAATTTAATGAGGATCGGACTCTATTAAACCCAATTCCCCATTTAAAGCATCCTCCAGAAAATAATTTTTTGAACAATTTTGTATTAAGAAAAATATCAATAATAATAATGTTTATGTATTACATTATTATTATTGATATTTTTCTTAATACAAAATTGTTCAAAAAATTATTTTCTGGAGGATGCTTTAAATGGGGAATAGGGTTTAATAGAGTCCTATCCTCATTAAATTGGCTTATAATCAATTAATATATAAAATACTTTGAAAAAATCATCTCCAAACTTTAAAAACGGTGCTAAAATCGAAAACATGTTTGCTTATGAAATACACACATATTTTTCTAGGTTGCTTAAACATATGTCATTATAAAGGCCTCAGCTTCATTTTTCTAAATCCGTTCAGAAACTTAAAATCGGTTGAGATTCAACTAAGTTGCTGAATTTTAAGTGCTTAAAGATATGAAGACCCGTTTTTTTGGAGGTGTTTGGGAAATTTCAAAAACAGATTCTTCTTCTACTCGGATAAACCTTTCAGAAAAATAGTATCACTCCTTGGTATTTATTTTTGTGTTATTGAACAAACACAGAAATAGAGAAAATTTTAATACTTTTCTATTCTTTAAATGGTTCGTTTTGAAGTTTCTATAGTGGGGAACAGTAACAAGTGGTACACGGTCATTATTAATTGAGAATTTTCAGGAATGAGAATTTTAGTACTTTTGTATTTTGTCAAAATCAAAATTTGTCTATTTAATTTTCATTGCGAAGCACCAGGGTACGCTAGTAATATTAGGATATTGTGATTGTAAAATATGAGTAGTATGTATATTAATTTTATATTTTGTAAATACATACCTCCAATCAGCATCATTACAATTGAAAACACCTTTTCTGCTGTTGTATTGGCGGAGACATTTCCAAATCCGACGGAAGTTAAACTTGTAAAAGTGAAGTACAGAGCTGTAGAGTAAGCTTCAGCATTTGTGATATTTGAAACTGGAATTTTTAATCTCTCGGCTAATGCGTGCATCCAACCTAAAAGACAAAAAAATATGGTTGATAATTTAGTGTTAAGATAGAAATGGTTGTTCCAACGTTGGCAGAAAAATGTTCGGAAAATGTCCTTCAACCGCGTGTATGTATGTATGTATGTATGTATGTATGTATGTATGTATGTATGTATGTATGTATGTATGTATGTATGTATGTATGTATGTATGTATGTATGTATGTATGTATGTATGTATGTATGTATGTATGTATGTATGTATGTATGTATGTATGTATGTATGTATGTATGTATGTATGTATGTATGTATGTATGTATGTATGTATGTATGTATGTATGTATGTATGTATGTATGTATGTATGTATGTATGTATGTATGTATGTATGTATGTATGTATGTATGTATGTATGTATGTATGTATGTATGTATGTATGTATGTATGTATGTATGTATGTATGTATGTATGTATGTATGTATGTATGTATGTATGTATGTATGTATGTATGTATGTATGTATGTATGTATGTATGTATGTATGTATGTATGTATGTATGTATGTATGTATGTATGTATGTATGTATGTATGTATGTATGTATGTATGTATGTATGTATGTATATGTATGTATGTATGTATGTATGTATGTATGTATGTATATAATAAATGAAACATTGTCTAAGTTTTAAATAAAACATATCATATTTGGAGCCAATTTGATTTGAATTTCGAAGAAATAAAGTGTTAATTCCACTTATGAGTTTCAATTCAGAAAATCAATTAAATTTACAATTGAGTTTACTATAACAATTCAATTGTAAATGAGATAGCAATTTAAAATATTGTATCAACACTAGTGCTGTTTAAGTATTGTGCACTGGGTATCGAGTATTTGCCTTATTTTTGAGTACTCAATATAAGTGGTTACTCAATATTTTTGATTTGTATTTTGATTTAATTTATTTAAATTTAACGGCTATGATGTGAAAAATACAGCTCTACAACAAATATAGATCATTTAGCAAAATAAAATCAAAGTAAAAAATAATTTAAAAACTCCAATAATTGTTAAAAAGTTAAAATTTTTTATTGAAATAATCTCAAAAAAATAAAATGTTTCAAAAAAATTGATGCCTGGACTTACTTTACCGAAAAAAAGAAAAATTCTTCGTTTTTAATTTAAAATAAAACCGTTAAAAGTATCGAGTAGTATTGAGTACACAATTGAAAAGTATTGAGTAGCGTTGGGTAATCAAAAGTAGCAGGATATTACAGCACTAATCAACACTCAAAATAACATTGTTAAGTAACTTTTTATGAGCTCTTTAAAGTGAACTTACTAGGGTTCTATAGTTGAAACGAAAAGTCGACTTTTTGCATTTAGTTAAAAGTCGACTTTTCGACTTTTTTCATTTTATGAAAAGTAGATTTTTCGACTTTTTTAAGTATACCAATCGGCTTAGAATCGTTTTCTGAGTCGATTAAGCTATGTCCGTCTGGCTGGCTGGCTGTCCATGTAAACCTTGTGCTCAAGGTACAGGTCGCAATTTTCAAGATAATTGGATGAAATTTGGCACGCACGTTTTTGACCCAAGGACGAAGCCTATTGAAATTGGTTAAAATCGGTCCATTATTTCACCTAGCCCCCATAGAACAGAACCCCCCGAAAAGGGCTTCAGAGCACATAATTATGTTAAATATACAGATATATCGATAAAATACGGCACAACTAAGTTTTATAGAAGTCCCCTTCAGAAAATTACTTGAATATCCCAAATTAACTTATAAACACAAATATCGCGATAAAATTCAGCACAATAAAACATTAAATATTTTAAAATATTAAATATTTTGTAAATATAAATATATTCACAAAATTTTATCGGGCTTGGTCCATATTTGCCCCTAGCCCCCATATAAAGCCTCTTTCAGAAAATTAGTTTTTCATCCATAAATTGCTTAAATGTATCGGAACAAGAGAATATTGAAGATAAATGCTTTATTATGAAAAATAAATCACATTTAATATTCATAACTGGTGTAGGGTATCATATGGTCGGCCACGCCCGGCTATACTTTCTTACTTGTTCATTTAATTAAAAGTCGACTTTTAAACTTTTCGACTCTTAGTATTTTATAAATAGTCGACTTTTTCCGATTTTTCGACTTTTTTGGACTTTTTCCGACTTTTCGATTTTTTGACTATTTTCGACATCTATCGACTTTTTTTGACTTTTTTCGAGTTTTTCCGACTATTTTAGAGTTTTTGATTTTTTTCAACTTTTTTAAAATATTCGACTATTTTTTACTTTTTTTCTACTATTTTCGACTTTTTCTGACTTTTCGACTTTTTCAACTTATCGACACATTTCGACTTTTCGATTTCTTTCGACTTTTACTTACAAAGTCGACATTTCGACTTCTTTCGGCTATCAACTTTTTTGGAACAAAATAGTCGACTTCGACTTTTTTCGACCAAAAGTCGATTGTTAGTAGATTGTTAGGCAGAGAAAATTCTGCCTCCCCATTCATAAAAGCTAAGCAAGAGTAAATGGTGCTCCCCCATTTATAAGAGCTATGTATATTGAAAAATGATGGCAGAGAAATTCTGCTTCCCCATTCATAAGAGCAATGTATAAGGAAAATGAAGGCAGAGAAAATTCTGCTCAGTGAATAATTTTATTTTTTTTGTAATTTTGTTTGTATAAGCAGACAATTTTTAATTTTTGCACTTTTAAAAGTGATGAAATTGGAAACTGATGACTTGCATAAATATTTTTTGGTATGTTTACGTGAAAAAATAACTTTGAGTAAGGCTGTTGACATTAAAGAGAGATATTTTATGTTGTTAAGTATGGGCATGATCACTGTTGCCAGATTTATCGTCATTTTGACGATTTTCACTGTGAAAAATGGCCTGTTGACGATTTGACGATTTTAACTCTAAATTTGACGATTTTTTAAAATAGGATTTTTGTACCAATTTTAATACATTTCATTGTTCTATCTATAATTTTAAAGAAAATCGATGTATTTAGAATATCCAATGAAAATGTTAATAAAATTAAACATTATAATGTTTTAGAGTATGTACATTGATCAAATGATTTACGTAATAACGAACTCAAACATTTTTGAGAATTTCTCTTTTTTTGGGGCCAGCACATAGGGTTTATTGGATCTAGAATAATTGGTAGTGGGAAGAAGGATAGAGGGAGCAGTGTTTTTGGACATTTGATTTAAAGGAGGAAATTTGTTTTGCATACTAATAATTGAAACATCTAATATATGTACATACATTTACTAGAGATCATATCAAGTTAGTTTGCAAGAACTCAATGTAAAGTATTTTAATTCATATTTGCCAAATTAAACAGATAATAAACAAATGCATTCGTAATTCAGCTCTGAGTGGAGGAAGATCCTCGTGCGTCGTTGCCATTAAGAGGAATCAGGCCGTCCTTTTTGCTCTGCCTTCGAGAGTTTTACGTTTCAAACCGCATTAGTCAAATGCGATACGTCGAAGAGCTGTACCGAGTTACGGTTTTTTAAAGTGCATGTTGACCATATACATTCGTGTTAACTTAACCAAGTTTTAATTTTGATTATGGTGGAGAACCAAAAAAAACTAAATTATTGATTATGGTGGAGAACCTAAAAAAACTCAATTTGATATTCTGTCCAGTCGTACTGGATTAATTGGTGTTGGCGTTATAATCTTTCGATTCGGCAAAGAAGCATCTGCAGCTAAGCAAACTTAAAGTACAAACAAACAAAACTAAAATCTATCGAAATTGATAAAAATGTCTTCTCGATAGTTAAAATAATTGCTATAAAATCGTATAAATATCATCAAACCTGTATATTATATATGTACATGGAAAATAGCTTTGACGATTTCGAAAAAGCAGTTGACGATTTTGACGATTCTTTCCTCGAAATTTGACGATTTTACTCCCAAATCATCCGGCAACAATGGTCATGATTAATTTTGAATACTCTAATAACAAATTAATGGGAGTACTCTATTCCATGATAAAAATATGAAGGTAGTGTCATTCTCTCTTTTTGTCGCCATATTAATATTCTGACGTTTGCTGGTATTTTAATAAATCGAGATACCACATTTATTTTGTAAATCCCATTTTTGTTTTTTTATTTTTCTATCAAAATAAAAAATAAAATTCAATTTAAACTAAACTAAAAATCAAATTTAATAAAAAATTTAAATAAATGCCAAACAATAAAAATGAGCAACCAAAACTCCTTAAGTCCTATATCAAATTGATTGTCTGTTGCTGTCCGTATCAAGAACGGTTGCAATTAGTGCTCCATCCGGTCCAAGAATACACCATTATTATTCGAGGAAATGTGTGACATCATTTGGATTGCAAAATATAAAAGGCCTTAGGGACAGATCTTGATATGATGGTTAGCAAGATACTCATAGGAATTAAACGCATTCCATGGATTCTGATAGGCATTCTAACGGGTAGGAATTAGAGAGATCGAGCATATAATTTGCCACTGTCCGAGGACACAGAATATTAGTTTGAAATGGCTGGGGAATAGGTTCCATAACAAACTGAAAGAAATTGCGGGATTTAACCCCCGCAGGGTACTAGCTTTTATCATTCGATTGGCGATTAGGATTATCTCACGTTTCTTTAATTAGGGAATTGGCTCGATAAATCTTCTGGGCTGAAACGCCATGAGAATGGACCAGTTTCAATTCATCATTCCTTTCTATCTATTTTATTTCTTTCTTGTTTTCATTTAGTGTTCTTGTTTCTCCGTCTTTGGACCTTTAGTCTCTTTGAAGGGAATCACCTTATGGTTTCAGAGTGGATGTTGTCCTTTCAAATGATAACCTACATTGTATACAATTTAAATAACAAACTAAAACAATACCTTTTTTATTCCGGACAGCTCAACAACAGTTACCTCTGGACCTAAATTATTTTTGAAAGTAGCAACATAAATTCCACAATCACAACACAAATTTCTTAAAAACTATTTTTCCCTTTTT